CACAATTTCATTTACCAGCACTTCCTGTACAAGTGACTTAACTTTGTCTCAGTCAATTCAGAAGATTTTTCTGTTAAAAACTCTCATCATCTGCCAATCTCAAGCCTGAATTTAGAGACAAAGTTATAATTCAGTAGCTCTTAACCTCTTCATTAAATATAACCAGTCCTCCTTACACTATCCTGTTTTTGCTTAGTCTTAATCATCCAAGTTCTCTTTAGTTGTCTAAAACATCTCAATTAGTGCAGTTTACAGGATTTTGCATTTTGGCAATGAAACTTTATCTCATGTGATATGTATTATTTTTAGACATTCTGTTGACTTCCGTGGGACTGCTCACAAAAGCAAAGTTTCTCAAGTACTTGCAGAATTAGGCCACAGAGGAAATTTTAGAGGTGCTTAGGGACTGAAAGAGCCCCTACTTGGTCTGTAGTTGACTATATTCCTTTAGAAATTTGGCTGCTATGTAGTTACTTACACGTGACTGCAACAGGGAGAGAGCAAATTCCCTTTAGAAGACAAGAAAACAGTAAAAAATAACCTAAAAATTTCATGTGACGGGCCTACACAGCAGCATTTCCTGTGTTGTGTGACATATTTGAGGTTTAAAACAGCTTTTCCCTTATACTGATATTGTAAAACCGAAAGCTTATGCATGATTTTTTCATGTTAATGCATTAAAGCAATCCTATGAGATGTGTGGTCTGCTGTGGGGTTCTTGTTTGCCAGAGCCACACGAATCTAGAGATTGTGGAGATCTCACTTGTAGTGGGTAGTTCCACAGGGACTCTGCAGGGGGGAGCTTTACAATGGGATTACTGTCCATGCTGGCAGCTGAACTGCCCTAACTGGAATCCTTCCAGTTGGGAATGCAACCTCTTCTCTCTGTTTTGAAAACGAGTTCTGAAGCAAAAGATAGTAATTGCATCTCTTAAATAAGCATCTTAATTGCAGAGGTAGAGCGAGATCAGCATCTTCTTGTCTCCTCCCTTTTTGGCTGCTAAAATATTAGACATTGCTCCTTTCTCTTGTTTCATTCTGGGGCAAAAATTCAGCCCAGCGACTGGAATCCACTGATTTCCAGATCCTGAAATACTAAAAGGGAATCTTTTTTGTGACCAGGCAGAGTGGGTAGTTTGCAAACCCCAGGGTTGCTTTGCTAAGTCCATCCTGCTCCTGTGGCCCAGGAGCTGCTCCCCTGGGGATCCCTGATCTCCCATTGTCCTGCTGCCTCCATGGCACTTTACTGCTCAACCTGTGACCTTACAAAGTAAAATGCTTTTAATCCAGAGAAAATGGATGTGGACAAGGGGCTGCTTCACTCCCCTGGTAATAGAATCATAGAATATGCTGAGTTGGAAGGGACCCACCAGGATCTTCAATCTCAGCCCTCAGCCCTGCACAGGTCACCCAATAGTTTTTTTCTTTCTTTCCCTATGCATGAAGAACATGAAAGGTGAATGTGCCATCTTCTGGCTTGAGTGTTCAGAAATATAAGGAATGTTATGTCTAGTTTATAGCAAAACTTTGGAGATCTTGGTTGTAAGTTGTAATGTAATTATACCACCTGGGGCCTTGTCTGAACTCAGAATTGCTTCATTTTAACTTAAGGTATGACTTTAAAGTGAGTTAGCTAAACTGGTTCAAAACCTTTTACTGATATTCTCAATTTGATTCAACTTGGCTTGAGCCAGTGTTTTGATCTTGATGCAAAATATTCTCTGGTCACTGCAAGTTCATTTTTGGTTGTGTGTGGCATGTGGGGGTTTTGTTTGTTTTGGTTTGTGGGGTTATTTTGCAAATTTAAGTGACTACATTTGATTAAATCATGGGAAAGAATCACAGACTGGAGATGTCTGTTCAGAGCTGGGAATTGAGGTGAAGAAAGTGGAAGCACAGAGTGATCTTTCCTACAGCACAACGTGCCTGCATCGTTTCCCCTGCAAGAAAGGCACCTCTGCATGTTTGAAGCAGCAAGTAAGACTTGATTTCATGTGATCAAATGCAACAAGTGAATCGAGTGCAACAGCAAACAAAAAATCCTTTCTGTTAGAAATTGGTCTTCTCAAAAGTGGAAATAAAACCCCCAACCTCAAAACTGCATAGAGACATCAAAGCAGGTATCGAATCCACACCTGGAGGGGACCTCCTGAAATCCCCCCTTAGTGCTTGGTGTCACGATTCCAAGAGATGATTCCAATCTCTTCTCTGTGCTGACCAGGGACAGCAGCCAGGGAATGGCTGGAGCTGTGTCAAGGCAGGGTCAGGTTGGATCTCAGGAGAAGGTTCTTCCCCCAGAGGCTGGTTGGGCACTGCCCAGGGCAGTGGGTCCCCCCATCGCTGTGTTTGGTGTCCTTGCCCTGTGATTACACACGGGTTTTGACTCTGCTCCCTCTGCTGAAACACAGAGGTGGAACTTCGTGTCTGGAGTGTCTTCAGTCGGAAACAGGGATTAAGGAGCAGCCTCTTTGCTGTCATGGCAATGAAATGCATGTCAGAGATAAGGGAGCAGAGCTGATTAAGGCGATAGGGTGGTTGCCCAAGGTACGTGACTCTCATCCCTCAGGCACCTGATGAGGACCGTGACCTGGAATAACTCCGGGATTGTGCCTCCAGCTTCTGCCAAGTGTTTATGGAATGAGCAAAATCCAGTGTTCATGGGGTGAGCAAAATGCTGCAGAACATCTTTTAAAAGCTAAGAATATCCAGCGCTGAGATGAAGCAGGAGAGGAGCTGTTGCTTTTACTTGAACACTGCTTTTACTTCTAACACCCTTTTTATCTGTGCAGGAATGAAATACCCCTGTCCCAAATCACCCCGTTACAGCTGTTTGAGGGGGTGCATTATAACTCTGTAAAATCTTTGTCATAATCTTAACCTTTTTTTTTTCCCCCCAGAAGTAAATATAAGGGAGTTGCTCACATTGATCACACTGAGCAACTTAAAACACCTGTCAGTGAAGTTTAATAAACTGAAAGGCGTGCAGACAAAATATTAATAATTAATTAAAATTATTACCAACTATTTAGCAATTAATTATTAATTAAAACATTAATATTTAATAATACGAAGATAAAATATTTAATTCCAGCTCAGGAATTATGGATTTGCTGTATTGCTGAAATAAAACTGGTTATACAACAAATAAAAATAGTTTACCCCTGCCACTTAGAAGAATCATGCTAGTATTTTCTAATACTGTAAGTATATTCTCTTCTGCATTAGCCTCCATCTCTTCCCTTTTCAGTTAAGAGTCCTTGTCAGCCTGAATCCTGGTAAAAAAAAAAAAAGGGATAATAGTCTTACATGATAGAAATATCACTGATATTTAATCTCATTTTTTTTCTAGCACTTGAGTACAAGGAAATAGGAAAACTAGTCATAGTGGTGGTGATTCTGCTGCCCACAGGAGGAGACATGTCTTTTTCAAATGTTATCTGGACAAACTATTACAAATTTTTAAGAGAATTTTCTGAGAAATAGGAACCAACAATTTCTATTAATTCAACTCTGTTAACTCTAAAAAGAAATTCTGGGGATAAAATAAAATTATTTCTTTTGGTATAAAGTTTCCTCTGATAATAAAAGCCATCCCTTACTGATTTCAAAGTCCACTGGAAAAAAAAAATAATAGAGGTTTTGGAGCTTCTCCAGACAGAATGCAATTATATACAAGTACTCCTACCTATTTATTGTAGGATTGACTTTTCAGGGTGTGGAGTCAGATGGTCAAGTAGCTGAGTAGCAAAATGCTCCAGATACTCTTTAATCTTTATTAAGATTCTTCTCAGTTCATGTTCTTATTAATGTACTGACGTTGGAAATGCATTTCTGAGCATCACTGACATCTCTGAAGGGTTTTTGGCTTTCACAGCCAGATGTAATTCTCTGAGAGGACTGACAGAGCCATAGGAAAGGGTTCTTAACATGTATCTGGCTTCTGTTCCCCCCGTTAAGCATCTTGAAAAGGACAGGGCTGCACTGGGTGACTTTGGGGATAAAGTCCATTAGCATTGTTGGAAGAATAATTTATTCAAGCTGTGTGGTAGATAATGTAATATCTGAATGAATGAAGTTCTATTTGAATATTTACTATAAAAACAATCATGCAGAATTAGAGATGAGAGCTGGACAATGAACAGCAAACAGCACCACCACAGCACAGGACTGTTGTATCACCTTATCCACACAATGCTCTTATATTTATTTTTTTTTTAGCAAATCTGTCTCTTAAAATTCTATTTATGCTGCTGAATCCTAATACTGGCTTTGCAGGATATGGGACATAAAGTTTGTCTAGTTAGTAAAGTTTCTACAGTTAATGATACAGCAGAGATGTTTAGTTTGGTATAAAAACATGCACTTTTTTGGTTATACTTGCAGCTATTTCCCTAGAGAGATAAGAGAAACAGAATGGAAATCTTATGCTGGGTAAGAACTTCTACTCAAGAGTTTATTTAAACATCACAGTGACTGATTAAAGTGTTCAGATTTACAGCTTTCCTTCAGCTTTCTTTCTGTCAGAAGGTCTTCAGAGCAGAACACACCTTGTATTAGAAATAATGTTAAAGTATGAGAAAAAAATCTGTTTTCTGCTTAGAGAGACTCTTGTGTTCAGTTTTCTTGTTAGAGGAGAATCCTCATAGATGTGATTTCAAACACTAAGAGTGGAGGGAAGAGAGCAGAGAAGGCTTGTAGATAGTCTGCCTGATTGCCCAAAGCTTAAACCTTGGACAACTTTCTAACCAGGTGCCAGGTTCTAGGCTTTATTTTGAATTTTTTGAGCTTCTGTTGTAGATTTTCAGTGAATATTTTACTGTTTCAACAGGTACTGCAATGGCTGCAGGAGTTTTGCTGCAGAATGAACTCCCATACTCTTCGTTGATCGAGAGCAGTGTGTACCTTGCAAATATGAGTTCAGGTAAGAATTTTTCTCTGATGTGCCATTCATAAAAAAAAAATGCATAGAGCAATCCTGAAAAAAATAAAAATCCGTGGAAAATTTAAGAAAAACAACCAGAAATATTATCCATGTTTATAGAATGAAAATGTCTATAACAAACCAAACTGCATTATTTCACCAGCACGTCGTGGGGATAATGTGTTTATCTTTTCTGTAATTTTCCTTTTGTCAGGTCTCTTAATGTGTGATTTTTATGTTGAGAAACTACCTAGCTCTCTGAAAATACAAATGTGCCTTCAACAAAACTCCTGTTTCTAATAAAGTATTTAAACTCTTACAGGATCCAATTCTTTCTTACCATTTTGGGTGAGCGTTTGCAAATCCCAAAAGATTCACTAGGAAACTAATGATGTGCAGCATTTCATTTTGCTCACTTCTTTCTCCACTATCGTTTGATACATACCAAAAATAAGTTTCTGGGAAGAGAAAGAGGAAAAGAATTAAATATAAGAAAGGAATATAATTAATTGGAAAACATTTTTCACATTTCTTGGATACAGGTAGCACTTGAAATAGCCTTTTTCATCTCCTTTCACTTTTACCCACCCCCTAAAATTAATCTTTCCTCACCTGTTGATACCAGCTTTATTGATGAATTAAAAGAGTCAGAGCTTTGAGACAGCTCAGAGTCAGCTTTGACATTTTCCTTTTCTCATATGACATCACTGCTGACGTTCCAGGCCTGGCACCCACAGCAAACCTCCTTGTGTCTTGGGAAGAGCTGGGGTGCAGCATTCAAAAGTCAGGCCCTCAATTCCTGGCCAGTACCCAGAAGAAACAGATTTTTGCCTGGTGAATTTGTCTCAGAAGGGAACTGTCTCTTGTGCAAATTCCTCTGTACAAGTTACTGGTTTTTTAGCACAAAAAGGAACACAGACTGAAGATGCCAAGGAGAATGCAACGGGATTAATTTGCTTATTGAACAAAGTTGAGGTGGGGTTTTTTGATTCCCCCAGCCCTCCTCTTTCAGTGCAGCCTAAAGCACAACCATTGGGGTGACAAAGGCTCTTCAGCATCACTGTAGTCTGTTCTCCACACAGTTTTTCAGGGTGTTGCAATCTTTCTGGCCACCTCATTCTCCTCCTTAGCACACTGGAAGCAAAGTGGGAGGCAATTTGCCACCTCATAGCTACCTTCTAAAGCCTGAAGCACTCAAGTGACACACCTTCTCCTCCACATAATCTGCTTTCTCTCAGGCTACAGGACTAATAATAAAGAAGCTGCGGCCAGAAGAAAAAAAATGAGCCTTTTGTTTTGAATAACAACTTGTGTTTTGTTAGCAGATATGAATGGTCCAGGCCAACAGTCCACACAATTCATGGAGTGCTGAACCATTTCAGTGGGAACACACTAATCCCAGTCATTACACAGCTAATGATGCATTTTGGAGCAGCAAAGTGGAGGAGGAGAGGTGGCTGTGGAATGTTAAACCAAGAGGTGGGGGAGTATAATGTACTTCCTTGCAGAGATCTCAGGAGGCAGAGCCTCCAGCTACATTTTGATTGTTCTTTTGAATTGAGTGTTTTGTGTCTTAGCAAGTTCTGAATGCCTGTTATTTAGAAGGAACTAAATACTCCCATTGTTCATGGAAAACGTTTTGGTTGTTCCCAGCGCCGTTTTGAAAATTACCTACTTGAAATGCAACTATTTTCATCGAGTGAGAGCAGCGGAACAGTTTGTCCCGAGCAGACGCAATCCCTGCACTCCCTGTCGAGGAGAGCAGCCCCGCGGCTGCATCCTCGGTTGCCATGGCGACCGCTCAGCCCGTGAGGACCGGCGCGCACGGGGATGCTCGGCACGGGGATGCTCGGCACGGGGATGCTCGGCACGGGGATGCTCGGCTCCCGCAACTCCAGCGCTGAGCAACTCGCCGTGCCCTCGGTGTGCCCGCGGGGCCGGGCAGCCATGCAGGGCTCGCCGCGGCGGCGCTCGGCCGTCAGCATCTTTAGCCATTTTTTCCAGGGTCGGAGGCATTCCTCCTCCGACCCCCTCCTCCGCATGAGCCAGAGGCGCCGGAGCTCGGTGGTGGAGCTGCTCTCCTCGTCCACCCACCGCGTGATGGTGGCTCTGTCGTCCCTCAGCCCCGAGGAGCTGGATGCAACTTTTCCCGAAAAAAAAAGTAAAGTACTTTTCATTTAGACTGTCGGCAGCTCTGGGTATTGTACTGGTGTTACTGTGCTTCGGTTCTGTGAACTGTGTTTTATGTATAAAATAGTGGTTTAATTTTGTCCCCGTGTTTTATATTTTGTTCATTGATTCCTTACTCAAGTATTATACACAATGTGTATATATGTGTATGTAGTACATGCTTTTTACTCTGACAGCTCAATTATAAACAACAGGTAAAACAGAAGCACACATTCGTGCATACACCAAATATATGGTTAACTATTTGGGATTTCAGGATGAAGAGGACTGTGCCTTTTTTTTTTTCAGTTGCAAGGGGTATCACACACCTCTAACTTCATTAGAAAAAACTTCTGCACTGATGCAAGCAATTTTTTCCCCTCACTCTCCTTACTTGAAAAATGAGTCTGAAATATATATATTAAAATATTTTTATATATTTATAAGTATATAGTCTAATTAATATATATATAATTATTAATTTTATATATATTTATAAATAGATATATTTTTATATATTTCTGCTGTTTGTAACTTCATCAGTTTAAGGTTGAACTGATGAGTCTGAAATACATATTTTTATATATTTCTCTTTGTAAGTATATAGTCTAATCAATATCTATGTAATATATAATTAATATTTATACATAAATTTATAAATATATATATTTATATCTCTCTGCTGTTTGTGACTTCATCAATTTAAGGCTGAACTGATGAGTCTGAAATATATATTTTATATATATATTTTTAAGTATATAGTCTAATCGATATCTATATAATGTAAATATGTATATATATTTATAAATATTCATATTTATATATTCCTGCTGTTTGTAACTTTATCAGTTTAAAGTTAAACTGATGACTCCGAAATATATAAGTATATAGTTTAATTTATATCTATATAATGTATAAATAATAGTTATATATATTTATAAGTATATCTTTTTATATATTTCTGCTGTTCACAACTTCATCAATTTAAGGTTGAACTGATGAGTCTGAAATATATATTTTATATATTTATATGTATTTATAAGTATATAGTCTAGTCAATATCTATATAATATAAAATTAATATTTATATATATTTATAAATATGCATTTTATATCTATTTCTGCTGTTTGTAACTTCATCAGTTTAAGGTTGAACTGATGGGTCTGAAATATGTATTTATATCTATTTATAAGTATATAATCTAATTGATATCTATATAATATAAATATTTATATATTTATCAATATATATAGTTTTATATCTTTCTGCTGTTTGTAACGTCATCAGTTTAAGGTTAAACTGATGTGTCTGAAATATATATTTTATATAAGTATATAGTCTAATATATATAAAATATATAAATAATATTTATATACAAATATATATTTTTATATCTATTGCTGCTGTTAGTAACTCCACCCATTTAAAGTTGAACTGATGAGTCTGAAATATATATTTTATATAAGTATATAGTCTAATATATATAAAATATATAAATAATATTTATATACAAATATATATTTTTATATCTATTGCTACTGTTTGTAACTCCACCCATTTAAAGCTGAACTGATGAGTCTGAAATATATATTTTATATAAGTATATAGTCTAATATATATAAAACATATAAATAATATTTCTATATAAGTATATATTTTTATGTATATTTCTGCTGTTTGTAACTTCATCCGTTTAAAGTTGAACTGATGAGTCTGAAATATATATTTTATACATTTCTATATATTTCTAAGTACATAGTCTATTTAATACCTATGTAATATAGAACACATAGTAATATTCTATTTTAATATATATATTTATATCGTTCTGCTGTTCGTAGCTCCATCGGTGTGAGGTTGAACGGACGCTTTTAGGGCAGGGCTGAGTTTCTAAGCTTGCCTAACTAAGCCTGGCTTCCCCTGTGTTGCAGGAGGCTCGAGGCGCCCGACAGCCAAGTACACGAAGGTGGGGGAGCGGCTGCGGCACGTCATCCCCGGGCACATGCAGTGCTCCATGGCCTGCGGGGGGCGGGCCTGCAAGTACGAGAACCCCGCCCGCTGGAGCGACCAGGAGCAAGCCATCAAAGGCCTCTACTCCTCCTGGTGAGAAGCAGCTTTGCTCTTCTCCAGTCAGCTGCTGCCTGATTGGGAATTAGAGTTAGTCATCGCCGCTGTAACGGCCCAGTAATGATGAGTAGTGATGAGAGTTTGGTTCAAATCCAAAGGAATAAATACTTGTCTGTTGTGAATGATAAAAAAAACTGGGCTACAGGCTAAGGTGCAAACTAATTAAACAAGTTCGTAATGGAGTTGAAAAGTAAGAATGTCGGGGTTGACAGGGAACCTGTCAGCAGCCTGGCAATTAGTGACGAGGAATTTAAACAACTTTTAGGAAATATTTACTGTAATGCTGGGTGGAACAAACGTAATGCAGCCCAGACCAAAGGTCACCAATCCAAATGTGTATAGTGTCACCAATGGCATGTCACTGCATGCACAGTGTCTTCAGTGTCACCAGTAAGAGTGTGTGCAGTGTCTTCTGTAGTGCCAATTAAAGTATATACAGTGTTTTATGCCTGAGACTTTTGACCAATTGTGTTGTGGCACCATAGTGTACAAAGAGTATAAAAGAAACACTTGAGAGCAATAAACAGCTTCCTGATCACCTTGCACCTGGACTACCTCTGATATCTGTGTCGCCTTGGCCGTTCCGACGTTAACAGCGACATAGGAACACTTAGAGCAGATGAAATAATGTGGGTGTGTGTTCAGAGGGACATTCGTATGCAGCAAGAGTCACATGAGGTGTATCTTTGCATTCTTACTGGGTTTAGCTTTTTTTTTGGGCAGCAGATAATTAAAGGGCATTTACAAACCTTAAAGTCCAAACCGGCATCTGAGTCCGGATTTCTGTTCAGAGGAATTTTTACTTATGTCATGGCATTTAAACAGTTCCAGTAATGGTCTTTTGATAATGTTGTATCTGGATCAGCTTAGTAAGATTTACTACTAATACTGTGGGATAGTGGAATTTTTTAAAAATTCATTTCTAAATAATCAGCAAGGTATTTCTGTCTTTCTTGAATATAACAGTATTCTTATTTTGGTAGACTCATACCCAGGAAATGATTCATAACCACATTATTATCTACTTCTTTAATTTCTCAGGATAACAGATAACATCCTGGCTATGGCTCGACCCTCAACAGAATTAATTGAAAAGTACAACATTATTGAGCAGTTTGAAAGGTAACAAATTCAGTCATTATTTATTGTAAGTATCACTAGTGTAATTCCTGATCCATTTTCTCTTTCAACATAGATTTGGATTGTTGATAAAGATCCTTTCATTTTAACGCTCTGCAGGTAAAGATTTATTCTCCACTAAGAACAAATGTGTGTTTCAGAAAATAAGGGATAATGAGATTTTGGCTGCATGTAATACTTTGACTCATCTATTCCTTCCTTAAGATATGGCATAAAAACCGTAATTAACCTCCAGCGTCCTGGGGAGCATGCGAGCTGTGGGAATCCTCTGGAACAAGAGAGCGGCTTCACCTACCTTCCTGAAGCCTTTATGGAGGCTGGAAGTAAGTTCCCTCCTGCTGCTCTTCCTCATTAATTATTGACTTCGGCTCTTAAAGGTATTTTTACTTGAATCCCTGCGTGTTAAAAGCAGCTCTGTAAGAAACGTTGCACAGAATGGGATGTAAACATGAAACTTGGCAAATACAATCAAGAGCAAATAACACATTATTGAAGGTCATGTATTATGTGGAGAGAGATGCAGGGTTTATGTTCAGCTGTTTAAAATAAAGAAAGGACAACAGTTAGTTAAATTTTCCTTTTTCTTCTTTGTTCACAAATATAAGAACCATTAACGGTGTTTCAAGTTCTGGTACAACTCATGTTTTCTTATCTAGACTATAAAAGGTTATTTCATATGAGGACAAGAGAGAAAGTGCCTCTCTGTAAGAAGCAGGTGTTGACTGAAGAAGTGCTTTTACTTCTAAAAAAGAAAAAATTACCCTCTCCCTATATATAGCTCAGTAATCCTGCTCCAATCACTCAGTTTTGTTACAGCTTTTACATTCTGGCTGAACTTCACTTTGACAATTCTTTGCTACCTTTGTGTATCTTTTAATACAAGAAGAGAAGTGGGAAAGTAATCTCTTGCAAACAAGATGTAGTCAGATTTTAAGCTCCATTATGCAGTTTTAGTACTAAAATTTATTATTAGTTATCTCTGCATAAAGTACTACGCAGTTCACATTCAGCACGGCAGAAAATCACTGTCTCCTCTCTTTTTCTTTTAGTTTATTTTTATAATTTTGGATGGAAGGATTATGGAGTGGCATCTCTCACTACTATACTTGACATGGTAAAAGTGATGGCTTTTGCCCTGCAAGAGGGGAGGGTGGCTGTTCACTGCCATGCAGGACTTGGGAGGACAGGTATGTGCTCTACTGCAGGGTCAACACAATTGGTTTTGTAAAAATGCCAAAAAGTCTCTCTGTAAATCATTAATAATTACATTCTGTATCATTGCTAGATGTACATCTATAAAATGGTTAAAAGTGCTTTGTCAAAATGTTCTCAATGGCTAGATGAGATCAGGTTTAGTATATTAAAAACAGAAACCTGTAAGGTTAGAGAATTTTTTAATCTGTATCACGATTCCATTTCATGCAAATGTGACAGGTGCTTTTGGGTGGGAAAAATTCACCTGGTACACTCTCATTGTCCAGTATTTATTGCACATTCACAAGCCTGCCAATCACTGTTAGATCAGGTAGATTTGGTGGAGCAGCTAAAATTCCATCTTCTATTTTCAAGTCCTATTTGCCTGTGTCCTTCCCATAGAAGCCCCCAATGCTCCTGTATCCACTCTGGGAGATGCTGTGGTGGAACTCTTGGAGATGCTGTGGTGAGCAACTAGGTCTCACTGGAAGGGTAGTGAGAAGGGCTTTACTATCCTATGGTTCATCAAATGCAACATTAATAAAATAACAGCATCATGTAATAGAGTGTCTTTACCTATATTAATTTCTATCCTCTATTTCCACTGAGTATTTGCTTTAGTCTGACCATTCTTCAACTATTGTATTTTTTACTGTATTTTTCTTTACCTATTTGTATTTTCCAGGTGTTCTAATAGCCTGCTACTTAGTTTTTGCCACAAGAATGAGTGCTGATCAAGCAATTCTTTTTGTCAGAGCAAAAAGGCCTAATTCCATCCAGACCAGGGGGCAGTTACTGTGCATCAGGGAATTCACTCAGTTCTTGGTTCCCCTGCGAAATGTGTTTGCCTGCTGTGAGCCCAAGGCTCACACAGTGACCCTGTCCCAGTACCTGACCCGGCAGAGGCATCTGCTCCACGGCTACGAGAGCAGGCACCTCAAACACGTGCCAAAGCTGGTTTACCTGGTCTGCAAATTGCTGCTGGACTTGGCTGAAAACAGGCAGGTGGTAGAGGCAGAGCTGTTGGACATCCCAGACCTCTCAGCTGAGATCGAGAAGGCTGTTTCTCAGTTGGTGTCCACACAGCTCGACCAAGACCTTGCCAGGCAGGACAGCGAGATGTCAGACTCATCCCACACCCACTCCTCTGCTTTTGAGACCCAGGATTCTCATTGCTCCCTGGGTCATGAGTGTGATTCTTTCTGTAAAAGAAGGAATGTCGAATGCCTTCAGCCTCTTACTCATCTGAGAAGGCGTCTAAGCTACAGTGAGTCAGATTTAAGGAGAACTGAGTTTCTTCTAGAACAAGACAACGCTGTCTGGACAGTGCCTGCTCAGATATTGCAGTGCAACAAGCTCAAGCAGAACAGTGGTGAGGAGTGTTCTGCCCCAGGTGAGCCGAAGCCCCAGCTGGAGTTACACAAAGAAGCCTTAGTGCGCAACACGTGCATGTTCTGGAGCCAGGGCAGGTTCAATTTGGACGGACGGAAAGATGGGTCCTCACTGTACCACAGGAGGAGCTCCACCAAAGAAGTCCAACGCAGCAGAACCTTCTCTTCGGGCCTGGCTTCCATCCACAACGCCAGGGAACCCGGAATGCTGAGGCACAGCTTGGCCAAGGAGGTTGGTCCCAGGAGGGACCACAAGGCTAACATGTATGGCAGGACAGTCTACGCCTCCGAGGACTCCGATTCTTCTTCTTCTTCCAAAGTGAACTTTTCCATTGGATATGAAAGCCAGGATAGCAGAGATGTGTCGGAGACAATTCCACACATTATTGTGCAGTCAGAATTAAGTCTGGAAGCCCGAAGAGTTTTGGCAGCGAAAGCACTTGCAGATATAAATGAATTTCTGGAAGAGGATGAAGTGAAGCAGAAGGTAGAAACATGGCAGGTAATTTTTAACTTGATTCCCTGTTATGGGCTCTGCATATTTCACCTTGGTTAATTCCTAGAATGGCAAAAACACCACGTGGAGCTTTGAAGTGGCACATTGGGACAGCACTGTATATGTGGTTCAGTAAATAATTGTAGTTGTCAGTTATGGGCCAGTTCTTTCACAGGCTGGCAAAATGCACCTACAGCTTCTGGTCTGTAGCAGGAGGGTAGAGACCTCACTTCAGGATGTATTCCCTCATTTTTCTACCTAGGGAAAATTGATGCCATTATCTGTGCTTGTAACTTGGCTGCTGGTAGCAAAAAATAGCACAGATTTTAAGGTAGACCTGTGTTGGTTTTCATCAGTGCTTTCTCAGAACTAATCAGAGGACTCTGTGAGTAAAAGAAAAAGAATTTAGTAGAAACTAAATTGCTTATCCTCAGAACCAGATCCTCCCAGCAACATTTGCTTTGAAGTTGGAATGCAAAGCTGGTTTATGTATTCCAGTAGAGTCCTGGGAGGTTCTCAGCTGCACTGTTTATGTCATCCTTCCACTTTAAAGAATCACTTGTGTTACTGCTGATTAATGTTGATACTTTGGAAAAAAAAATTTTTTTGGGTAACTTTTTAGTCTTTTCCTGTTGAAACATAAGCAGCCAAGTACTGCTACAGTCAAAGGGAACGTTGGCAGTGGTAAATAGATGATGCATTTCCAGTTTTGTTTTGCTTTCTTTTGTTTTAAGAAAGAACTGAATTCTCGAGATGGAGCTTGGGATAAAATCTGCACCGAGAGAGATCCTTTTATCCTCTGCAGCTTGATGTGGTCCTGGATAGAGCAGCTTAAAGAACCTGTTATATCCAAAGATGATGTTGACATGCTGGCAAAAAATTGCACAGAATCACAAGAAGCACTCTACTTGCTGAGAAAGGTAGATATTGGATCTGTCAATTCATTCTTTAACTTTGGGAAGGGAATTGCACTTTTAAAAAGCCCTTTAAAAATCAGGATGAGAATTCATTCTGTATGGAATAGTAGGAGTTGTAATCAATACTGTGGTGATGAATATTACAAAAAAAGTACCAGACAGAGTCCTTGAACACCATCCAGTAGCAGCTCAACTTCAGCACATTTCCCTGCAAATTCTGCACCTGGAGATCCAGAGGCAAAGATGAGAAACCTTTGCTCTGTAACTCCATGGATGGCTTTTGTTGTGTCACATCTGGCAGCTGTACTTTATGCTTGTCCTGTTTGCTGTTCAAACATCTTAATCTGGCAGCTTTGGAAGAGCTGGGGCAAGGAATAGGAAGAATCTGCTAATTCAAAGAAGCAGAAACCAGGCCTAATTCTTCTACAGAAGTTAGAACTGTGACCACCTGTGTTGTGAAATCCCTATGATAAATAGGTACTTGTGACCCAAACTGCTTAACTGTGCTTTCCCCAAAGGGAAAATAAATTTACAAGATAAATTTGCAAAGGTAAATTAAAAAATAAATAAAATTCTCCATTCTCAATCTCTTAATTATACAAATTAATTTCCTAATTCGTTGTGAATTCTTTGTTTCTGAAGTATTTTTGAAGAAAATAGAGCCCCTTTTACTTTTCCAGATACCTAAAAATACAGCTACTAATCAAGAGGTGGTCAGAACTTCCTGTGCAGTTACCATCCTCATGACATGACATTCAGAGTTCCCAAGTTTATCTGAAAACATCATGTTTCTTCCTTAAGAATTCTTCCACTCTATCAGAGTTTTAACTTTCTATTTATATTAAATAAAAAACTGCTTGGCACCTGCTATAAATGATTGGGAAAGGAATAATAATTTTATCTTTCCTTATCTCATCCTGTATTATTTCAGAATCCCACAAGAGCTGTGTTGGCAGGGACCTCTGGACATCTTCTGGTCCAACTGTCTTGCTCAAAACAGGGTTGCCTAGAGCAGGCTACTTGTATGGCAGATGCTCCAGTGTCTTAATTAAGGATGCTCTTAAGCTGGAAAAGGGATGGGAAGGAGCAGCCACAAAGATCTGTTGCTCCCTTTATGCATCCTTGCTCAGGAGTCTCCCTGGCAGCTTCCTTTAGTGGTTATGGACACTTGGAAGGACAGAGAGAGATGCAAGATCATCCTGAGTTAGATGGGGAAGGAGCCCTAAACATGGCATTTTGGGCTACAGAGATGAAATTTCACCCATTCTATGCCAATTGACATGAACGTTAATGTTCATGGAGGGGATCTTGAAAACTAAGTCTCCAGATGCACATCTGACCTCCTGGAAATTCCCACAGCAGTTTGTGGCACTTGAGAGGAGTTTTTTCCATTACAATGAAATAATTATGTAGAGGCTCTTTGGGCTTGTGGGAATTCCCTCCCCAATTCCTGCACCTGAAGGTTTCAATACAGGAAGGCACAGCCTGATATTTAAACAGCAGTTAACAAAACCTGAATGTTAAAATGTTTTTCATGGAAATATTTCTTCTAATGAGCTGCTGTTCCTTTCCCCCACCAGGAGCAGTGTCAGACTATCCTTTGTATTTTACACTGTGTGGTGAACTTGCAGATGCTGCCAGGTGATGTGGAGGAGGCCTTACTTGCTCGTGCTATTAAAGCTTTCACCAAGGCAAGTAACCTTAAATAAATGTCCATGGCATTGTATTTATTTGGTTTAAATCACAAAGGGCTCTGTGAGAAAAATTACAGTAATTCCTTCACACTTATTTAGTTCAGAGTTTACATTTTATAATAATCGGCCTACATAAAGGGTAGCAAATATTCTCAACAAAATAAAACTCTGTCACTACAGCCCTAATCCTTGAGTCTCCTTTTTCTGTTTCTGGACCACTGCCAGTTCATGGGCATCTTCAAATTAGGGAAAAGATCATTTTTTAGTGGTGAGACTAACTAATCACTGGGAGTAATTTACCAAAGGCTTTGGTAGGTTCTGTGCTAGAAGTCTTTTCATCAGATTAAACCATTTTCTGAAATTACACTGCAGTCCAGTTCTGTTTCAGACCTGTAATGCAGGATGTGGATAATAACTTCTGCTTTTGGGATCATCCAGTAACAGTGACAGGTGAAGCTGTTGCTCAGCTCAGAGCTGCTTGCTTTGCAGTTCAGCCAATGAAATTTGAATTTGAACAGAATGTTCACTGTGCTGCTTCCTGATCTCTTATGTCACCTCTTAAAAGTCATGACATTTCTCCTGCTACTAGTTTATTTCAATGTCTAGTCAGCATAAAACTGAAAACATTTAGCATGAAGCACTCCATCATCAAACACGTACTTTCTTTGATAAATCTCAAAGCCACTCTTTAAAATGTTGGGCATCTCCTTTGGGTTTTGCTGTGTGATATCTATTTAACAACTGAACTGAATTTTTTCTCTTTTATTAGACAAGCTTCGATTCTGAAAATGGACCATATGTTTACAATACTTTGAAAAATGTATTTAAACAAACACTGGAAGAAAAAAGGAAGAGGATTAAGGAAGGAATAGAGAATCCTTCTTGATTTCTACAAGCTCTGCCGAAGCATTAGATGGGCCTACCAAATTATTTTGCATTTTCCAGCTACTGTATTTTGTGCTACCTGGCATGATCTACCTAACTTTAGGTAATAGTTATTAACAAATAATTTTATTTTTTTAGAGGGAGTTTTAGTGACAGTTGTTCAATCTACACAGTTTTAAAGAAGAGCTCCTGTGTGACCATCCTTTGTAGCATTTGGGTTTCAGGCACTGTGCTTTTATATTGTGAAGGGTTCTCCTGTTCTCAAATGTGTTAATTGATTTAGAAACCTCTGTTGTTGGCAAGAAACATTACTTTCAAGTTACACCATTGCCATAAGTTCAGTGCCATGATACGCAAAGGTTGGATGAACTGAGTTAATATTTATGGTTACATATGTTTACATTAATGTTATTTCATTTTACTTTGCAGAAAATAAATATTGGCTGAACCACTGGAGCTGCTTTTCCTTTTAGAAATTTTAAAATAAGGCAAAGAGTAATAATGGACAGATCTCGAGGTCTGCCATTGGCAGTATTTTCCTTTAGATCTCGTAAATAACTGTAACCAATGTGTTTCTAAAAGGTGTTGCAGGAGAGAAACACATTGTGTTGAGTATTAGTTATCAAGCCTTTAATTTAGACTTTTTCTGGCTAAGAAAGCTTTAAACAGTTTGTAACAGGAAATGGACTGTGGCAATTTAAGTGCTTGGAATAAGAGTAAAACGTTACCTTATTAGCTAAACTTTTATTGATCTTAAATGAAAAACCACTTCATTGTGAAATCTTAATAAGGATATAATTCTGTCCATGCTTATGTTCAGCAAAAACTTGCATAAATAAATGTAACATAATAATACTAAAAATAATTAATCAAAAACTTATTATCCGCAATACACTTTGTAGAGACCTTTTTATCTAATAAGACAGAAACAACTGGAACATCATCATAACTGCAGTTTTGGATTACAGCCTTTGGCTTTGGACTGCAATGCCAGTTTGCAGGATCAACAGTTTATCCAGTTTGATATATTTAAGTAGTTAAACAAGAATCTGTCCTTTTCTGAAATATTTTTATTCATTAATGTAAATGACTAATATTTAGAGATAAAAAAAGAGCAGTTTGAAATAGATATAAATTATACATGCTTCAGCTCTTGCATGATTTTATATGAAATTCAGATCCATACAAGTACTTTGGCAGAATCATCCTAAAATAAGCACACTTGAAAGGAAAATATCACATGTGAATCACATACACAGACCCAGCTTTGTAAAGAGGGAAGGCAACATGACAAGCAGTTTCACATTAGCATGCCTTAGCAGTCAGGCTTGGGAACACTGAAATGCATTTGCAAGTGTCTTAGTTTCCCAAGAAATTCTTTGAGTTTATTACAGTTAACAGCTCCAAAGAGCCAGCACCAGTTCCTGGTGCTATTTACTTTAGCTGTGTATTTTAGCTTTTTATTTCTAGACCCCAATACACTTGGGGTGCAGAAACCAGGTCAGTTTTGTTCAAGTCAGTGTAATGAACAAGGGCTTTCACAAATCATTAGCTCCAGCTAGAATAACCTTTCTGAAGTTAATGTCAGGTGTTGGCATTTGAAAAATTACCGACACACAGCCCATGTAAATGGACAGTGTAGAACTGGGCACTTCTTTATTTAGTACGTTTTTTGGTTCACTGACAAGTGTGTTTACAATTATGGCCAAACTGGCCACCACATCTGGTTGAACCCATCATGGATAAAACCAAAAATAGCCCATCTGAATGAATACTCAAACCTAAAAACTTTAGTAGCAGCCTCTTAATTAATTTGTGACCCAAGTGATGCAAACAGGGGTGACCCAATTGTAGCCTTCCAGTACCTGAAGGGAGCCTACAAGAAACATGGAGAGAGACTGTTTATAAAGGCTTCAAAGTGACAGAAAATAGGTTTAGGTTAGATAATTAGGAAGAAGTTCTTCCCTGTGAGGGTGGGAGGCCCTGGCACAGGTTTCCCAGAGAAGCTGTGGCTGCCCCATCCCTGGAAGTGTCCAAGGCCAGGTTGGATGGGGCTTGGAGCAACCTGGGCTAGTGGAAGGTGTCCCTGCCCGTGGCAGGGGGTTGGAATGAGATGGTCTTTAAGGTCCCTTCCAGCCCAAACCAGTCTGTAACTCTGTGATGATTCTATTAAATGTTTGAACAGCAAATACTCCTTGTCACTTCCTCATACACAGCTCTGTGGGACAGCCTTGCACCTGTGGGTGGTGTGTGGGCAGATTTCTCCTCACACTCATCAGGAGCACTGCCTTGCTTGCTGACACTCAAATCCTCACCAAATCCTGCTGCAGCAGGATGGCAATGGGCCAGCAGCAGGATGGGCCAGGAGGACCCAGCCTGCCTCTCCTGCTTTCTCTGTTCTTCCACAAAATTCCTCTCCCGTTAGAAGGTCACCTCCACATCAGCAGCAGCCTCCCGTGCAACAACTAGTGCTGTTGCTGCTGCCCCTCGCTGAGCACAGGCTGGATCCAGTTGGCTGATCTCTCATGGGCTCCTCATTTCTGTGTTACCACTCCACAGGTGATCCCATATCTATTAGTTCTTGGTCACCTCAGTCCAAGGTTTAGTTGATTCCCCCCCAGTCCAGAAGTCCATGGCCAACAAAATCCCACAGTTCTGAGAAAACTTTGTACCTGCTTTTTGTGACTGGACATGGGAGCTTAATTATGGTCTCTCTTTCTTCTGGATCTATCATTCATTGCCCCTTTCCCAAAATGAAGCCTAAGTATTTAACCTTTCTTTTGACACACTGAGGTTTGGGTGGAGATGCAGCTGTTCCCTGTTTCCAGGGCAATATGTTCAGTACACAGGTGTTCTCGTCTCAATTTGCTAATGACAAATGTCTGCATGAACCAACTGTACAAGAAGCAATTCACCCAGCAATTTTATACCTCAGTTCCAGTGCATTCAGTGCCAGACTTCTCTGCAGATTCAACAGGCCTAACCTTCTATCTCCTGAAGGCCACAACAATTTGGGGTCTCTCCTAACGTGTGCAGGGGGCTGTGGTCTCTCACTAGGCTCACAGGGATATTTTGGGGTCTCTCCTAAGGCGTGCAGGGAGTTGGGGTCCCTCGGCAGGCACACAGCAGGGTTAAACTTCAGGGGGTTTCTTGCTGTCCTTCACACGCCCGGCACAGGAACGGGGCCGCTCTGGGTCAAGGCTGTGCCGAGCTGGGAGCAAATGTGCCGTCCCTGCACTGCCCGGGATGCTGGAACAGCGGGCGGGCCCATCCCATCCCATCCCATCCCATCCCATCCCATCCCATCCCATCCCATCCCATCCCATCCCTTCCCGGGGCCCTGCCCAGGGCAGTCTGGCCAGGCCAGGGACCCGCGTGGCGAAGAGGCCGCGGGGCAGCCTGACGAGCCGAGGGGAGGCACAACAAGGGGCCTCCTCGCTGAGCCCTTGGCTGGAGCCGAACACACACCCACAGCCCTGGCGCTTCGCCAGGGCACAGGAGGCACTGCGGGGGTACAGCTGAGCCCGTGGCTTCTCACACCAGCGGGAGCCTGGGCCTTATTGCAAAAATAAGAGAACCGCAGAAATACCCAGGAGACAGAAGAACTAACTAAAGAAATAAAGTTGTATTTGAATCAAAGGCACAGCTTGCTGAACAAATCTCACAGAGGTCTCTCAACTGGGTGGAGGTTGCAGCCTCTTTTATCCCCTTGGCCCCAGAACGCCGATCTCCCCATTTCTCCAGGGGCTAAGATACTCCGAGGTTACAGACTTCCCAACATGCCCACTGTATGTCCCCCATTCCATTCTTATGAAGTGTCTCTGAAGGCCCTGAAGGACAAACTATACATTTTTCAAGATGGAGTTTCCAAAACCTTGGCTCCACCCTCCTGTTGCCTGTGATGTGCAGGGGTGCTTGG